CTGCACGAGATCATATCAAACGGGCCCTTGCCAATGAATACATGACTTGCGATGCTGTGGGTGGCCAGCCTCAAGTCACTCCTAAATGCTTGAGAGTTGGACATGCATATGGTTGATGAAACATGTCGAGAACACGTTGAAGCTACTGCACTGACTCAGGCATGATCATGTATATGCGACTGCACCTTTACTATGGTACCTCCTGTTTAGATCAGGGTACAGGATCCCCTAGGGGGCCAATAGGCACTCAAATACAGACATGGAAGTACCGCACGCATATCCATACTTCAAAACATTGTGGATTTACCTGGGTACGCGTGTGGTCAACCAACGGGGCCGTGATGCGCTGTCATGGAGTAGTCCCTGTGACCGTGATATGGCCTGTTTAGGCAGGTCGGGTAGGGTAGACGCCGGAGAGAAAAAAATCCGCGCGTTCACGGACTTATGCAAGGCGCTGTAGGCGTGTTCAATTCTTGTCGCTCGCTCATTTCCTCTCGCGCCTACCGGGCGTCTGCCTACCTGGATTCAAGGTCAGATCAAGCGCCTGTAGCACAGCGAGCAGAGGTGCGCAGGCAGCGGGTGCAACACGACCGCATCAGGGTCGCGAGCTGGGACTGAGTAGCGACGCGAAAGCTTAACAATTCGAAAGATAGAGAGCTCCATGACTCGAGACGCGGAGTCGTCCCGCAAGGCTTACAGTGGCAACCCCAGGTGGCCAGTGAACCGTGTCGTGCCGGATCTGGTTCCGATTTGGGCGCATTGTGTACAATCATTCTCGGTCAACAAGTCTATAACGATCTGCCGACGTCTCCATCCACTCTCCGGACAGGTTTTCTGGGTATAACAAACCTAGCATAGGACCATCCCGTCGATCTCGCTGCACCCGCTGCCTGCGCACCTCTGCTCGCTGTGCTACAGGCGCTTGATCTGACCTTGAATACAGGTAAGCAGGCGCCCAGTAGGCGCGCGAGGAAATGAGCGAGCGACAAGAATTGAACACGCCTATTAACGTGCAGAGGGCAATCGCGAGCGAGCGCTACGTGAAGTTGAGAACCTCTTGGAGGACGATGAGGGTGCTCAACCAGCTGCAGCCTATTGCGCGCCAAGGTTAGTTGTCAAAGTTCAGGACCCCCTAGCACAACCGCGCTCTGACATCGAACGTCCCAGCGCTGCGACACAAACACAGATGCTCAGATGTAGCGCCGCGCATCGACTCGGAGCCAACCCCGTTCTCACCAGGACACCACGCCTCCTACATAACGTAGGGATGTACATACCGCATCTGGCGTTGCTCGCTGATGATGTCGCTATCGCTCAAGTTCAAGCGACGCAACCTGCACGATCGCGACCTCCGCCTTCTCTTGTTCCTGCCACCCTCCTTCTAGCCCTGCTTCCCTTGCCACATGACGACACTCCTAGCGCATCCTGTACGCTCTCTATGCAGTACGCATGACAGGGCCGTAACGCAACGCTCAGTCGCGCGATCACGAAGAGTGTGCAGACACGGCCACGCCGGAGATGAACATACGAAGGAGCCTGAGCAGCTCGTGTGAGGATTGAACGACAAAGGTACGCCACCGCATACGTTCAACCGCCCTGTATTCTGGTGACCAATTTCCCTCCTTCTAGCATTTCCTCCTTCCGGCGCGGTCGACCATACGCCTTCAGACGGCTTTCCCGAGAAACCCGTCTTTCTTTTCCATCTCAGGTCCTAGACGGCTCCTTCGACTGGAGAAATGCCAACGCCGCCCTCGCCTGGCAGCATGTGAATTCTCTCCCTCCTGGCACATGAAAATCTCCCCGTCTAGACAGTTCACACCACCCAAAGCACAGATCGCAACGGCGGCCCTCACCTTAGAAGCCTAAGCTACCTACCCATCTGGAGACCGTCTTTATCGCTCACTCGCTAGTGTGGATTCGAGAATGACTACATGTATGGATGCGGCTCGACGGTGAGTGTTGTTAGACATATTGCGGTGCAGTGATGATGTCCTCCTGAGCTATCATCGCCACTCGATGATACATCAAAGCCTGTCTTAACCCATCATCTCAATTGTATACGACGTTGGGTGTTTTGATCACGACACAGACCAGGCATAAGGTCGGAGCTGCTCCCCAATGCCTTCGCCCTCAATTCTGCCCGCTTTATCATTCTTCGTGTCCGTTTCTGTGGACACACCGGCTCATCGTCCGCCTTCTATCAGAATTATGCGTAACCTGCGCTCGGGCACACAATGCTGTAGGATGCGTAGTAGCACAGTGATAAACTCGGGGCTGTGAAGACAAAGATTAGATCCGACTAGAGTCGAAGCAAGATCTTCAGTCAGTAAGGAAAGACTATATTGCAGTAACCAACTGTACCTAGAGTCGAAGCAAGACTACAAAGGTCAAGTAAGTAACTACAAGTTAGAAATAGATGTAACGAAATACTCACTCTTCAGTCAGTAAGGAAAGACTGAAGAGGGAGGACGCAATCTGAAGTCCTTATATACTACAGAAAACTTCATTTGGAAAAGTTGGTTCCTTGCTTGATCACCAGAGTGTGACTTCAGGGGGAGTGTTGGAATCTGTAGAATTCACACTCTAGTATCGGTTGGATGGTGTAGTGTTAACACCTCCCAGTGCATATGGGATGACCTGGGTTCAATCCCCGGTCTGAGTGTCCATGACTAATCGAAGAGTGGTTAGTCACATGTACCATAGTGCGATGAATAATACGATGGTGAAAGAATTGCGACGTATCGCACCATAGGATGAGTAAGAGATGAGTAAGGCATAGACCTGTCTAGACCGTTCTGGAGTAGTACAGATTGTCCTAGACAGTACCAGAAGAGTCCGGAAGCATAGCTATAGTACACGAGCAGAGAGTCCCAAATATGGTAACATACTACATAAG